GCTACACCCAACGGATGTGTAACTGCTAGTGTTGGTCGATGAGGCGCAGCACTTGCCAGCATATTGATACTCCTAGGCCGGATACCCAGCGGAACCTCCGCCGTACAGAGGGCGCATAAGCTCGCTACCTACTGTCCACACCATGCTCGACCGACGACGGGCCTGCACTGGTGCAATCCTACGCTTGTAAGGTAGAGGGAGTGGGAAAGAAAACGCATGTCGTAAGACGATTCTGGCCTGTCACGATGGCGCTGGGAGCGAAGGGGCAAGGGGATAGAGAGAGGGGGGGGGGGGTATGATCTTTCAGAATGCTAGTGTTCTCTGGCGAACGGAGTTCTTCTTACCTGCCGCTCTAAGCGTCTGCGTATGCAAGGTCTCTCCTCTCCATGTCCCTGTTACATTCCTTTTGCCAGGAGGGGTATGTGGTGTATTTCTTGGGTCTCTCGAGGAGTCGAGGCAGACTTTGCGCTGATAGCGGAAGAAATAGCTCTAAGGCTGCAGTGAGGGTGTATGAGTGTCGTTCCCCTTCTCTCGGCATAGCTTTCTTCCTCAAGACGGGTATCCGTGCTCTCCAATGTCCGTGTGCGTGGGGGCTTCATTGTGGATGAATTCTTGGGCATGGATGAAGTTACTTTATGTCGGTACGGTTGCTTTCATCGTGACTCTCAGCCGTACATAACACACAGAAGAGCTGACAGTATTGCTCATTATATACAGATCTGTCAGAATGCTACTGAAAGAGGATTTGTTCCCTCTCCGAAAAGGAAACGGTTTCGTTCGCGATGTTGGCGCATCAGTTCATCCTTCCCCCAGAACATTGACCCCTATTCTGCCATCCATTTTTTGCAGCTCGAAGGATCACCATCCCGGCACGGACTCGGGCTCCGAAGACCAGAAACGCCGCCTAGAAATTTTCTTGGGAAGAAAGGCCGCCCCGCGCGCGCACGCCCCGCCTTCTATTTCCAAGCTAGAGCGACTCGGGAAGGGAGGGGATTGTTTGCAATCTTTCTCTGTCTCTTCCCTTGTTTGCCTCTGCTTCCTGGGACTGTAGTCTGTCCCGGCTAACGGCACTTCCGAGGCTGTGCAAGGGAAAGAATATTGGAGCCTGTAGGGCTGGAGGGAACCCTCTATCTGTTTGCTGAAGAGAATCGAGGTGGTCGTGGTGTGAGCATAGAGGCCCGATGACCAGCGGATTTGGGACGTTTGAAGGATTTATCTAGTGAGAAAAACGGATGCCTAGGTGTTTTAAGGTCCCTTAAGAAGAAAATGCCATGTTCGTGACTATTGAGGGCCCTTTATGTGTATATCTAGGCAGTGATTGGACAAGTTACGCCTGTGACTTTTAATACGACGACCCGTCTTGTAACCTTGTCCGACAAGCGTTTTCTTCCGAAAGGTGCGATATCTTCGGCTGCCGGCTTTGCTTTGACGATTTTCAGCCCTAGACGACACTTATTTGCTTCTTCCGGGGACTTTATTTCGGCCAAGGCTGGGACGTAAGTCTTTGTGATCAAACAATAGACTTTGTAGTTGTCTCCGCTTTGATACACAGCCCCAGGCAGCAGCATTTTTCAAACAGTGACATAGGGAAACTTGTAAGAGAAACGTACATCCTTTGTGTCATAATTGGCATTATGAGGTTTTCAGAGTTGGCGCTTTTGACTTTATGTGGAACTTCGATGTTGTGGTTTTCCAGTATTTATAGTCAGAAGCACGCTGCCGTAGCCATTTGAAGAGTTTGAAGAGTACTAGAAATCTAGGATGTGGAGTAAGATAGAGCATCGTGCTTCATTTGGTTAAATACTACATACAGTAGATCTTCAATGATTCATCACATGGCATGAGTTACATTACAAGCATATGTTGAAGAGAATGCCCTGAAAATTCTCTTGATTCTTTTGAGGAAGGCGGCCAGAATTGACACTCAGCATCATGGTACATACAGGATTGGGCCGCATATCCAGAGGATAAGAACAACAATGTATTTTTCTAGTGTTCTGCAACCATTACCAACTCAGTCATTGAAGGTTCAAGGCACTGATAATCTATATACGTTTCGAAGCACAACTTCTTATGACCCGGAATTCGTAGAGTCTACCATGAAAACTGAAAGTCGAGTTGTCTTCGGCCCGGCTCCAATGTGCCACAAGAGACTTTCGTCGAGACACTCTGTCGAGTCTATTAACAGATCCTTACCACAAGTCTGCTTCCGTACTCTAATAAAGTGTGAGAAACGCACGGGATAGGTAAGTGCCCAACTTGCTTTTGATCTCAAACCAGAGATCTCTTAACATAATTGCTAAGGACCTTGTTCTTGGCTTCTGATAATTGAACAATAACACAGGTCGCTGTGAGGTTGACAGAAAGTAGTACAACATCAAACACGCCTTACTACGCCGCCAGCCACGTCGCATTGGCAGCGACTCCTATGCTAGATATCTTGGCATTCCGCATCATTCTCCTGTACTCTTCAATCTTGGAGAGCCCAACCATGACAACTTCTTCGATCGTTTCCGGTCCAAGATGCCTCTTCCAAACAGAAATCACACCATTCACTTGATGATCGTCAATCGTGACAGACAAGATCATCTCCGTCTCATTCCTCAGCTCCCACGACGCCCGTCCATACACTTTCATACCCGTCGCCTTCCAATGCAAGCTTCCCAGCTCGCTTGACTCGTACTTGCCATCGCTGTCTTTGATATCGATCTTGAGCGCACGTTGCGGAAATTGGATCTCGGTCTGGGCAGGCAGCGTATGGAAATCGATCGCGGCTACCTCCTGGCCTCCATTCGCTGGTGATGTGACATGGCACTTGTCTCCCCAGGCTGCGAGGACGGCTTGTCGTTTCACTTCGTAGCGCGGCGTCGTGTCGCCCTTGACGCCGAGGATTCGGCGGTGCTCTTTGAGTGCGGTGTAGTGAATTTCAAGAGCAGGTGTCTCTTCGGTGCGGCGCTTGTCCGGGGTGGCGTCTACGCGGACGATGAACTTTTCGAGCCAGCCGGGAGCCATTGTGGTAATATTGACGGGAGGTAACTTGTAATGGTAGGAAGTTTGCTTGAATATGCCAAGACTTTTGCGTATTGGTCGGCTTTCTCGTCTCCCGACTTCATGCTGTCAGGTTTCGGTATATAAGGCTCCTAGATATTGGCTTCATGGCTGTTGCCTGAATGCCTCCATCGTACGAGCAATCACGAAAATAACACCGTTAAGTGGGACATCTCAGCCTGGATGGGCAAAGCAAGACTGGGCGTTGTTGAGGTCTCCATCGGTGTCATGGGCATACTGTCCGATGGCGGAGTTGGCGGAGGAGGTTCCCGGGTAGCGATCCACTGTCGGAGCCCTAGGAGCCTTGTCGTCTCTTAAAGTAGACAAAACGGTGGAAAGTGGGGGTCTTCCGGCTCAGCTCCGATACCTCGGGCTCCAGTATCGTCTTCGGGGTCCATTATTGATTCTTTCGGGCTCCATTTACAGGGAAATTGAACAGAGCCTCAGGGTCCGAGAGCATCGAAATGGGTAGCCAATCACCCGGTCATCGGGAGAACGGCAAAGTTCAACTCATGTTGGAAATCTTCATACTTTACTATCAGTCCCATAAAACATAACCACCAGGACATGAGATCGATCCACATCCTATCCAAATCTTGTGAGAAGGTTGTGAGGAGGTTGCGAGGAGGTAACCAGCCTGAGGTGCGTCACAGATTCATGCGCCTCAGCGGATTTCTCATAGATGGTTAGGTTACTACAGTTGGTTCCAAAAGTCGCTTTGTCTGATCGAGTAGAAACTTGGGAAGGCATCCTAGATGAGGTAACATCCAAGGAGAAGAGCTATTCGAAAGTTGGCATCAACAGTGCATCATGACGGATCATTAGCGCCGCAATATGCGATAATCCCTAAGAAGAAATCACCCTGAAACCAATGATGTTTGCCTATTGGAAGCTTGGTACATTGGACAGCTCTTATCGTTTTAAGAGCATCAACGCAAGTGAAGTAGATTTGGGCACCGGCAACACCTGAGCGGACCAGCGCCGCTCCGACGTCGCCAATAGCGCCGCTAGAAACCCCGGCCCGGCCGGCGTCACTCCGTGCGGCTCGTCAACTACTAACGCTACGACATCCGACAAGCTCTTCAAATGTCAAAAGTTGAGACGAATTCTGCCTCTCCGGATAGCACGGGCATTGCCAAGATATTGTCCAAAAACACTTGCAATTTCCGCCTCATTCGAATCGGTTATTTAGGCTCATTACCGGATGCGACGCTGATCTCCACTCCCTCAATTGGTGGAAACTCTGCTCCCCTAGTAGAGACTCATGACTGTTAACTTGGATGTTGAGAGTTCGGATTCAGACGCAGGATTCCGGAGTAGCCCTGCCAAGACGTCCTAAAGAACTTGGAAAGTTCACACATGAACACATGTTTCCACCTCAAATATTCACCGCCATGGGTATCACTCTAGGTCAGTCTTGCGTGATACAGGGCTGCAGAAGCGACATGAGATAAGCATTTCGGATGCCACCTGCAAGGGCTGCAAACCGCACATGGCTCAACAGCTTCGACGACCCAGACTTCTCTTCAAGGTAGAATTCTGACTGCTTATATTAATCACACCTTTTTACTTTCAGATGACAACATTGCGCGACTTTAAACTCGGAGGGAGGACTTGCCCCTCTCAGTTTAGCTCGGCGCACCTGTCAACCTCCCGGTTCTCCACTCCCGGGGGAACACCCCGGACTCGGGAATCTCGGTGCAGCATCACTCCGCTCCAAGATGCAAACTTTACTGACGCGCTTGGGACGATGTGACCGGTATTTTGTTCCGTACAGCTACAAAACATCTCGTCTGCCCACTTGAGCTGCGCCAATGTGACCTTTGCGATTCTCATTGTCTCTCTGACTAATAGCATTCCCTCGAGGTTCCTCAAAAGATCAACATCCAAGTCCCCCGTCGAGTTCCTCACATACGCATCCAGCCACACTCTTTTCTTCTAAGCCATCCAACATGCGTACTCTCACCGCACTCCTCGCTCTAGCAACCTCGACAATGGCAGAGACCCTCCTCTACAGTAACCCCCTAAACTCGACCGCCGACGTCGCAACCTGGGTAGCAGAGGGCCCCCTCACCGTAGCAGCCGTCAACGACACCCTCGAGCTCTCAGGCGGCGGCAACCCAGACGACTACTTCGTCTACTGGGTGCCCGAGGTCTTCCCCGACGGCATCCGCATCACCTGGGAATTCTCCCCGCGCAATGAGCCAGGTCTGGCCATGTTCTTCTTCGGCGCCGCCACCGTCGCCGACGACGGCAAGGGGTCCATCTTTGACCCGTCCCTCAAGCCTAGGAACGGGAGTTACCCGCAGTACCACTCTTCCGACATACGCACGCTGCACGCGTCCTACTTCCGAAGGCGCTGGCCCGAGGAGAGGGCGTTCCATCTGGCGAACCTGCGCAAGTCGCCTGGTTTCCACCTTGTTTCTCAGGGCGCGGACCCTTTGCCGCCTGTCCCAGACGCCGCTGGTGCGTTTTACAAGATTGAGGTTATCAAGGACAAGCGCGAGGTTAAATTCCGCATCAACGACTTGCCCATCTTTGAGTTCTACGACGATAAATCTACGGGGCCTATTATTCGGGATGGGAGGATCGGGTTCCGACAGATGCAGCCTCTTGTAGCGAGATATCGTAACCTTCAGGTGTGGAAGCTTTGAAGAAAGGATGATGACGGACAGGGATAGATGTATTATGATGTTTTGATGTAATAAATAATAGGCCACTACCACTGCGATTGCATTCCTTCAGCCTCCTTTAATCATCATGCTCCTGAACTCCATTTCGTAGCCGCGATCTCCATCGAATAGGCCGGGTCAAATCAGCCGACAACTTGGGCACAACCTCGCTCGTCACAGACCCCTCGTCGCCAAGCTTATCCAGCTCCTCGATCAAATCAGCAACATCAGGCGGCGGCGCCGTATCAAACACGGCCTGGATATCACCGTGCGGTGAGAACCCCGAAAGCTGCCACCCCAAGAACCTCCGGCGGCCACCATTACCACTCAGCTTCTTCCTCATTCGGCGTGAGAACTGCCGCCTCTCGTATAGACTAATGAGCAGCAACGTGGGCAAGTTCAGTGCGCGGATCAGCGCGACGTTGACCCTGTGAAATGTCTCGGCTGACACGGCGAACCGTAACGGCAGTAGCGTCGCGAGGGCAAAGATGTTAAAGGGCGGCGGGTACGCGAAAATGGCATCACTCTTGACACCCTCAAACGTCAGCACCGCGCGACGGAAGCGCACCTCGGCCGCCTCGTCGGCAATGATGTTGGAAAATGTGTTTGTCAGCACGGCGACGAGGATCGTCAGGAACAGCGTGTTGCCGAGGAACGCAAAGCCGACCATGAGTGCCGGGCCGAGAATGATGTGGAACTGCGTTGACTCCTGGATGCCGGTGCCGTCGAGACCGAACCAGATCCAGAGCATCCACTTGCAAATGGCGAACCACGAGGGCGTCTCGTTGAAGTTGTCGTTGGAGTCGATGAGCCACTGCAGCGCGAGAAGGAAACCCATGAAGCACCAGCACGCGAGGAACGATAGCAGCAAGAAATCCTTCATCATGGCGTGTAGGGAGATGAGCACGATGTTGTCGGGTGCGATGTTGAAGGCGACGCGGGTGAGGAGGATGGGTGCCGCGAGCGGGAGGATGTGTAGGCCGTGGCCGTCGGGGAAGTGACCTGCCCCTACGTCGTAGATGCGCGCGAGGATGTATACGGCGTAGATTGCGGAAAAGGTGACGTCGAGCCAGGACCAGAGGTTCTGCGCGTGAACCTCCCAGCCATGCTCTGCGACGGCGGCAACTTCGTCGAGGACCCAGCCGGCGGCGTAGATGCAGAAGAGGAACTCGAAAACCTCGTTGCTGCTGCGGCGGTAGAGCATGGCGAGGAAGTAGAGGATCATTAGGATGAGGAACTGGACGAACTCGATGGAGTTGCGGGAGCGCGGGACGATGAGGCGGTAATGATTCAACAGGGGCGCTTTCCGCGGATCGTAGAGGGAGATGGGGCGGTACTCGTAGTGGTCGGGTAGGATATCGACAAAGGAGAGCGGGGTGTAGACGACACGGCCCTCGTAGACGGCGTTGATGACGCGCTGGCAGCCCGGGGAGGAGATGAAGGTCTTGCTCTCGGAGAGGATGGCGAGCTCGAGGGCGGTGAGTTTGCGTTCGAGGCCACCGCGTTCCTGGGGTGCCCACTGCCGACGGCCTTCAAACTCGACGGCTTCGGGGGCGCCCTCGAAGGGGTCGAAGCCGCCCACGAGGAGGCGTGAGAGGAAGAGCAGGCCTTGAGAGCCCGGGTTGGCTTCGTGGAAGCGACGGAGAACACGAGCTGCTACGAGTTCGCAGAGCGTTGCGCGGGATATGTTGACAGGTTGGTGGACTGAAGTGGCCTGCTGACGGAGGAAGTAGAGGCGATTGGCCAGGAGGCAGTAGACTCGTTCTGGAGTTAGTCATGAGTGGTATTGAAGAAAAGAGGGATCACGTACCTATGGTGATATCGTTTGGATGATACAAACGCTCAACGAGAGGCCGGACGATGAGAATGTTCATCCTAGGGTCACTCAACTGGCTGAGTGTGAATGGATCATCTAGTTCCAAGTGTGAATACATAGGTTTTCCGGCAATGAAAGATGGTCTCACCTATACTTGCATTGATGAGACGGCGGACACTGCCTACGGTCAGTATTTTGATATCTCAATTTGATCATGAGATATTCCAGGCTTTGATGGACATACCGATGCATCGACACATAAATGGGCAGCTCAGAAACTGAAGACGGAACTCCGGGTTTCTCGTCATCGCCATCCTCACCAAGACAGGCCTCAGTCTCGGAGCCGTCAGCGACACCAGGACCTTCGTCCTCCTCCTCCTCGTCACCACGGCACCTCTGCCGGCCCGTCCACAGCTTGGCTTCTTCCGCCATCTCCTCCGTCGGCAACCGTCTCATCTCCAGCTTCTCACAGGTCGGTGTAGTCCGTCTACGTCGCAAATACATTCACTTTTGTTTTTGGATACATCCAGAGGCAAATGATACCGGCACGTAGATCAAAGGGCCATGTACAATCATAGAAACGAGCACCTGTCCTAATTGTCCACTGACGGATCATCCCCTTAAATGCACAATACGGAACAGCTGGGGTAAAGGGGCCCTGTTTTTAGTCATGGAATCTTGGCGATTCATTACAAGACACCAGCCGCGATGCCCAGGATTTGGGAGGAAACCATTATGTAAGTGCGAGTCGCTGCGCACGCGCGTAACCGGTAACCCCTGACAAGGCGCCAAAGACCGAGGCCATGTTATATGTGGCTTTTCTGATGGAAGCAAATGACGAAGGCTGAAGAGTCTGGAGAAAGAACTGAACCTTCCGTTTAGGGTATGATGTCAAGCGAAAGCCTCGTGTAAGATAGGAAGGCATGATAAAGGCACGGGGGCAATGAAAAGCAGCAATGAACACATTACAATCACCCCCAAATGAAGGGAATAGCTCTGGAGGTTTCCAGCCAGGGCAGGCAGTGTGTGAAAGGGAGCACTCGACCAGAAGAGAGACAAAAAGAATTTACCCCCGATGTGGCTACATCTCTTGATTGAACCCGGGAACTCTTAGCCTTTACTTTACCTTTCAGGCTTGTCCGTGGACTTGGGCACTCCACCAACCAGCCACTTTGGTCCTGATCGCAGAGGTTGATAGAATGCAACGAGGTCATCAGACATATACTTGACATTTGAAGACCTTTGAAAAGCGAATATCCGGACTTGACCACTGCCTCCGCCAAGCCGGACATGGCAAAGAGCATCCTCGCGTTCGCAAATCCGGGGTCCACAACCGCGCAGACAGGACCAGGACGAAGCCTCTCGGAAAATCGGCCTTACATTTCTCCCACTCAGCTATGTAGCGGGGCCCAGGCCCGTCCAACCACCCGCAACGACCATCCCGACCGCGGGGTCCTATCGATAACCGTCACCCAGCTTCATCACCACGCAACGTCATCCAGGCAACGACACAACGCCCGCCAAAAACCCAACAACCTCACTACGACACATCTTCATCAACACCCCGATAGACTCAGCGAAACCTCCCATACGAACCTCAGCAACAACATAAACTCGCAACCATGAACCGCCTATTCGGCGCAGCCCCAAAGGGCCCCAAACCAACCCTAAACAGCGCAATCACAAACATCGACGACCGCATCTCCTCAATCGATGTAAAACTCTCCGCCCTCACCGCAGAACTAAACACCTACCAACAAAAACTCTCCAAAATGCGCGACGGCCCGGGAAAAAACGCAATCAAGCAAAAGGCCCTCAAGGTACTCCAGCGCCGCAAAATGTACGAGTCCCAGCGCGACCAGCTCCAGTCCCAGGTCTGGAACATGGAACAGGCGCAGACGATGCAGGATAACCTCAAAAATACCATGGCCACCGTCGACGCCCTCAAGACGACCAATAAAGAACTCAAGAAGCAGTATGGGAAAGTGGACATCGACAAGATTGAGCGGTTGCAGGATGAGATGGCGGATTTGATGGATATCGGGAATGATATCCAGGAGAGTCTGGCGAGGTCGTATGATGTGCCCGAGGACGTGGACGAGGCGGAGCTGGATGCTGAGTTGGAGGCGTTGGGGATGGAGGCCGAGCTGGAGCCCGAGATGGGCGCCATGCCGAGTTTCTTGCAGGAGGAGTTGCCCGAGTTTGTGGATGAGGAGCCGGCCAAGGAGGGCGCCAAGCTCAAGGAGGCTGCTGGCTAAATGTGCTTGTAGAGTGTCGTGTAGGAAAGGAGAAGAAGGCTAGAGGGGAGACTGACATATGGAAAGTTCCATTCTCGGCGTAATGGCATACCTCATATCTACTTCATTACAAGCACCAGGTACAGTGGTTACACATGTTCACAACTCGAATTCACTTCTCATTGTTCCAAAACTCCTATTCTTCCCAATAGATAAACCAATGAGCCCCCCCTTCTGCCGATACGATTCGCTATGCCAGTGAGATGCTGCTGCTGCTACTACTACTGCTACTCCAACACACCACGTCGTCCGCCTCTACTCCACCGTGCCGAAGAACCGCGCAACCTCCTCCAGCTCCGGGTCGTTGTTGCAAAAGTCCCAGCCTACAATGACACTCGTCTGACTACAACAAATGATTCTGCGGGCATCGTATTGCAGCTTAAACACCCTCGCTGGGCCGTTGTCGCCGTTGGCAATGTGGGGGTGGTGCGCCGCATCCGGCACAGGGTTTTGCGCGCCTTGTATCGGCACCGGCGTCGCCTGTGTCTGAACAGGTGCTCCCGGCTGCGTCGGCTGTGCTTGATTCTGAACTTGTCCCTGAATGTGCAAATGTCCTTGCACCTGTGGCGTCGCAGGTCCGGCGGCGGGTGTGGCAGCGGCAGCAGCTTCTTGTTCTTGAGCGTGTCGCTGTCGCGCAAGTTCCATGTGAAATCTGGCAAGATTCTGCTGCTGAGGCTGTGTGCTTGACGACGGGGCGAATCCATTCAGGGGTGGCAGCGCTGGCGGATCAATCGTTTGCGCCTCGCGATTCGCCACAAGGCGGCGCGACTGGTTAAGTTGCGTCTCCAAAAGGGCGGCGTTGAGCACATTGCGGAGGTCGGCTCTGATGCGCGGGTTCGGTTCTCTGCCAATGGCAGCCTGAATGTGTGAGTTGTACACCAACATCGTCGGGTAATGGTGCAAAGCCTGGCGCAGCTGCGTCGGTCCCCGAGGCACAACAGTGTCAATCAGGTTCATAAAGGCCTGAGCCGAATCGGGCGTGATGGTGGCAATAATGGGATTGTCGACGGTCGTCCTGGGAGATCCGGTAGACGATGAAGATCCCCGAGTGCCGCGCGCGGTGGAGGGAGAGCCTGACTCCAAGTTCGCCAGCATCTCTTGTGCGGTGAGCTGCGAAGCCGCTCTCGCCGCAGCTTGAGCTTGACTTTGGGCTGCCGCGGCTCCCTCTTCCTGACGTAGATGTTGCGTGTCCTTCCAAACGCCCTCTTTATCACGGCGCCAGATGATGATGCTCTGGTCGTAGGATCCAGACACGATGCGAGCGTACTTGCCACCGCCGCCGCCGGGAGGAAGAATGGCACCGTACGCCGTTATGTCCTCTGGTCGTTGACTACCCGCGTTACGGGCCTGGGCACGACCACGACGACTGCCGTGGTCGCTAAAGGGGCTGACGACTCCATCAGCTACCGCCTTAAAGTAGATCTCGTCGATCCTCTTGGCCTCTGCCTTGTCCTCTTCAGCGCTGTAAGGAAGGTCGCCGAAACCCGCCTGGACCGTTCGCACAAGGTTAGTATGCGCGCGCAGGCTGGCGACTTCGAGACCCGTGAACCTGTCAAACACCTTGACCTCGTTGTCACTGCTGCCACTAACAATCCTCCGACCGTCGTACTGCACGCAGGCAATGCCCTTGCTATGGCCAACGACTGTCCGGATACAGACCTGCTTGGTCCAATCCCACACCTTGATGTTTCTGTCGCCGCTGGCTGACACCACTTCGTTGTCATGGATCTGAACAGCATTGACAGCCGCGCCATGTCCGTCCAGAGAGCCAATCAGACTGTACGCAGGCTTTAGGGGCAAGTCGTCCATGGGGTTGCCGTATCCGTAGTCTCTGACGCGTTTCGGGGCGTTGAAGACGACATCGCTGTCACCGTAGCCCGGATCACCGTACTTGAGCGGACGGCGGTTGAAAATCTTGATGGTCTTGTCCTTTGAGCATGTGACCAGAATCCTTTTGTCGAATTTGATGTTGAGAACCGACTCGGAGTGAGCATTCTTGAGCCTTTGAATCATCTGTCCTGTTGAAAACTTCCACAGAATCACGTTGGAGTCACTGCTTCCAGAGACAATCAGATCTTCGTCCTTGTCCGCATCGAACTGCAAGCAAAGCACAGATCCAGTGTGGCCTTCCAGGGGTGGCCTTAACAACCGCTGGGTGTGGAGACTCCAAATACGCAGCGTCTTGTCACGGCTACCGCTGACAAGGTATTCGCTGTCAAATTGCAGACTGTATATGCACTCTTGGTGACCCTCTTGCGGGTGGTCTGGATGGGGCAGCTGGAAGTTGGTAAACTTTCCGAGCTCCCAGTTCTGCTCCAGTCGGTATCGCATCGTGTATAGATACTTCCAGTCGAGCCTGTACCGTCGGCTAGGTGCGTCCCAGGACCAGAGTGACGACCGTGAGATTCTTCCTAGTGCGTCGGCGGACATCTGGGGCGGTAGCGAGTCTTCCTTGACGAGAGCGGCCCGCAGCATGGGCGACGCCTTACCCTTGCCCTTGGTGTCAAGACTGAAGTTTCTCTCCGCGCTCCGACGATTGGACCCTGAAGCCGACCTGTCCAGATCCATCTCTCCATGTTGCGGCGTAGCTGAACTCCTTGAGAAACCGAACGATGAGGCAGGACTGCCAAAGATGCTATTACCCATGATGGAGTTCATCGAATCTTCCCTGGTGACCGAAGCCCCGGCGTCTGTCATCTCGAGATCGTTGTCTTCAGATATCGCACGCTTCTTATGCGTGTGGCCGTCTTCGCATGATCGGACCCTGTGGAGGGAGCTGGGAGATTGGCTCTGGGGTTTGTTCGCATCTTCTTCCCACTTGTTGACTTCCGAGTAAATGGCCTTCCAGCCCTCCATGTTGTACAGCTTCTCCCATAGCTTGCGGTCGAGGGCCAGCTCGTGCCAGGCGTGGCAAGCCTTGGCGACGTTGATGAGAGAGAGGGGATCGAGGTATCCGAGAATCTTCAGGCAGACTTCTGTCGGCAAGTAATGAACAAAGTTGATGTACATGCGAGGGTGTAGACGCTGGACGATTTCGACGATGGTTGAAGTGGGTAGCTGGTCGAGAAGGGCTATAGCAAGTTCTGTTCATTTGGCAAAGTGACGTGTCAGTTGGCTTCCTAAGTTTAACGAGCAAACCGAGCCGATGTCTGCCCTACTGCAGCTACATCAGAGGGCCAGGGTTAACGTACCAGTCTTTTCAGAGGTGGACAGGCCGGGGAGATGTTGGGCGAGCCAGGCGGGCAGGTCTGCGGGTGGGCGCGAGGCCGAGACATCCTGAGCGCCGCTGAAGCTGGGGTTCAGAGGGTCTTCGGAGTAGCCCTCGTCGGGCTGTTGTGAGGTAAAGGCAGACATGTCTGGCGGGAGTGTGTAGGTCGGGGGGTATATGGAGATGTCGCGCAAGACTTGGTCTCTACGGCTCTTCTCTAATGGCGAGGTATACGCAGTCGCGGGCCATGCGGGCGAGGGGCAGAAGGGGTTCGTGCTCGGTCGCGGGGTGGACTACGATCGATTGGCTTCTCTGGAATGCTTCGTGGTCGTCGTCGTCGTCGTCGTCTTGGTCGAGAGGATGCAGCGGGAGAGAGAGGCAGGTGAGACTGTGGGCGGACTGATATCCAGGAGAGTCTTTGGGCGACGTGATGCAAGGCGGCTACGGTTTCTTGGATTTGGGCGGTTACGTATTGGTTGTGATGCAATGGTGGTGTAGAATGTTGTCTTAGTTCTGTCGCATCCAGAAAATAAAGCAAGGAATGGGTGCGGCTGGAAAGCTGCGAGTGTTGATGCAACAGCAGAGCAAGGCAGGCAAGGAGAAGAGGAGATGGGGACAGGGAGTGGGGGTGGGAAAATGGTGGGATTGAGATTTGGGATTGAGATGGAGAGTTGGATTGGGGAAAGGAAGAGTTGGTTGGATGATGTTGAACGGTTCTGGATGTTTGGATGTTTGGATACTGGGCTGACTGGGGGCGGCACGGCGGGTGGAAATGCAGCGGGAGCGCTTGGCCGTTGTTGGTTGAAGAGATGCCGTGAGGTAAGCAGGCAGGGCAATAATTACGGATGCAGGTAAGCAATCCAGACCTGCCCGATGATTAAGGTAGGTGACAGCTCAGGTGAGCAAGGTGAAGACAAGGCAAGGCAAGACAAGGCGGCGGAAGGCGGAAGGCGAGATGCGGCGGCGGCGGGCGGGCGGGCGGTAAGGAGAACCTACGGTAACCTAAGTCCTTAGAAGCCAAGTGGGCACCAGGCGGGGGGATTGCTTTGGAGCCTGGAAAGCCTGTTTTTTGGTCCCTTGGAATCACCTCAACCTGGGCAATTGGTGATTGGGGTAGGAGAGGGGAGAGCCATGGAACATACCTAGGAACACGGGAACACGGGAACATAGGACCACAACAAGTTGACTGCTGAGCAATTACGCCGTACGGTACTACACATACGGATCCACGGATACCTCATGCAAACGAGTTTTGGCAGACAGAAAAAGAGACAGAGAGAGAGAGAGGGCGGAGGTGGCGGGATAGGATGGGGATGATGGAGCAATAATAGACGGGTCCGACAATTATCACTTTTCCCTGTTCTCTTGTCTGAAGGCATTGCTCCTCACGCTTATATTGCCATATGCAGTTACATATACTCTCCTTGTCTGTGAATATCTGTTGATCAAAGCAATTGGCCAATATCCTCATCGCATCGCATTCCCTCATCCCCTCATCGTCCTCTCACGATGCCCACCTCAAACGTCTCATCCTCTTCTCTCCATTCACTCCCTCTGATATCCATACTGAGTGCGGATACCAGACCAAGTCAGTGACAAGAGGTGTGGACATGCAACAGACAAAGTAGGCAAGGACCGGCAGGCAAAAATAAGCCGCAAGAACAAGGGGGAGGGGCAAACAATGCGGAGCGTCTACCGGCCGCGGGAGTCTGCCGCCACGTCCGTCCACCGCCCGCATTCCACTCACTCATTC